GTCTATTTACTATTTAAATTTGATGCTAGGAACCATTGGCAACAGGACTTGGAACAAGTGAGTTAAAAACCAGAGTCTTTTTCTTTCATATTTTATTCTCTAATCATGTTTATACTTGAGTGAAGTACCCAGGATTGAAAAGAATAGACTTTAGAAAATAAAAAGTTGCATCGTCTCTTGCGGATACAGACGCTCCTTAGAGAGTGCCTGGCTGCAACTGCTCAAAGAAAAGGTCATTTTCTTTCACATCTACCTGGACTCATCCATGAAGGGGTGCACCTCACCTCACCTCACTCTCGGCTGATGGCAGTGGCTGCTGCTGGCTCAGGGATCTTGTCTCAGCTGGTAATCACAGCTAGCCCCTCGTTACTTTCCTAGACAGGGCTTGATGTTTGGCTGGGGGGCACCAGGATTCCTGGCCATGGTATACTGGGCCACATTGGTTCTGATCAGTTTGATGTCCCTTCAACAGGTCGGTGAGCAGGAAGGACCAGTTGTCAAGTATCCTTACTATCACCCTCGGCCCAGACCCCCAGATGCCTAGTCAAGTGGCATGTTGAAGTGGGGAGGTACCCCCTGTTGCATCAGGTCTGCAGTGGATGGGAGTTTTCCTGCCCATGAAGCCTAAGGACACACCTGTGAGCCTGCACTGCTCATACCCACAGTAGGCGGGCATTTATGGAAAGGCAGGGGTAGTGCCATTCTGTCCTGTAGCATCACGCCGACCTTGACTGGGCCAGAGGGACACTTTGGGAAGGTGAGTCTGAGGCCCTCTCCAGTCCTCTTTATTCACCTTCCCTCTTTCTGCAGGGAAACTACTGAGGCACACTCTGAGCCTCAGAAGCAAACTTCTGAGGCATGCTCTCAGAAAACTCTGGGCCTTTGGAAGAACCCTGGAAAATGAGTAGGAAGGCTGGTTCTGAGATCTATTTCATAATACTACCACAGGGGGAAAAGGATTCAGAGGACAAGCCAGGCCAGCACGGCGGTCAGCAGCACAGCTTTGGCTTCTTCTGTGACTAACGTTACTTGCTTTATCACTAGCAATGTACACAACCTCTCTGAGCCTCAGTTTCCTCACTGATAACCCTAACGTAGCTATAGCACTTTGCTTAGTGAGGCTGGTGAGGAATGAGTGAACTAGACTTAAGCAGGTAGCACAGTGCCTGGCCTTCAGAGCTCAAAAAAGAGTCACTTTTGGTGTCACTGGTAGGTGACCATTAAGAGGCCAGGAGGATGACATGTGCTAAATGGCCATAAGGCCTTTGAAATAGCTCTTGGCTCATAGCAAGTGCTCAGTAAATCAACAAATGATAACAGCCATCATCATCTTTATCTTCACCATTTTCTTGGTTGCTTTATCATTACTAGTTAGCTCCTCCTTAACCAGAGTTCTACAAACTCTTACATGATTAGAGGAGCTTGTCTGTGGACTTGGGTGTTGGGTTACAGAGGAGACCTGTGCAGGCCTGTCCTGTCCTTAACCAGAGGGTGTTGCTTCTCGGGGTCGAATTTACCCTGATTGTAGAGAGGAGGTGTCTTCAGGGAGCCGGGAACTCGCTTCCCACCCTAAGGCTCCGAGAGTCTCAGCCTCGCCCAAGGACAGTGCGTGCCCATCCCTGGGGCAGGCGTTCACCCAGCAGATGTTACTGAGTGCCTTCTGACAGCCAGGGTCTGGGGACACATGGTGGGCAGGACAGTCATGCCCACACCCCACTCTTGGAGGTTACTCTCAAAACTAAAGCCCAAGGGACAACCAGGAAAAGACTTTAGCTTATATCTTCGCCCCACTGACTCTAAACCTGGGAGTGCCACACGTGTTAGCCAATCAGGGGTGGTTTTTCCAAAGCTGCGTCCGACCCCTGATGTGTATGGATGCTTTGCAGAGAGCTCATCTTTCTAAATTCCCTCTCTCTCATTCAGCCCCAAGGAAGTATTTCCACAAGCAAGTGAATTAGAAATGTAACGTTTAACATTTTTTTCTTTTTTTAAATTGAAGTTATTGGGGGTGACATTGGTTAATGAAACTATATAGACCTCAGATGTACAATTCTGCATCACGTCATCTGTACACTGTATTGTGTGTTCCCCACCCAAGTCAAGTCTCCTTCCATCACCATTTATCCCCCTCCCCCACGCCCCTTCCCTCTGGTCATCACCATGCTGTTGTGTGGACATGTAAATCTGAAAATCGTCACTGAGGAAAGGACATGTGTGCCTCAGAAAACCCCCTGGGAAGAAAGTCCTGACCCTCACAGTGCCTGACATGACTCCTAGGGCAGCGCAGGGCCTCTGAGGCCCCGCAGCAGAAGCCCCATTTTCTAAGAAAGGGAGCCAGGAGATTAAGGAAAGTGCATCTCAGTTTTGTCCCTCCGGACAATACAGGTGTAATTCTTCTCTTTCATTTCTCATGCCTTCATCCTTGGAAAATTTACTCCAGAAAGAGATTCCTTCCTTCTTTTCTAACAGAGCACAGGGTCCCGCTGTTCACTGTCTCCAGGAAACAGCCGTCGTTTTACACAGTCATTGCCGTCTCCCAGGAGCCGACAGAGGCAGGTACTCTGTGACCCTCCCCAGCACAGGGTGCGGGCAGGGTGGGGGAGGGTGGGCGGGGCTGGTGCAATGGCACCGTGGTCTTCAGTACAGTTCCAGGTCTCCGGGAAAGGCATATGTTGCGGAAGGCAGAGCTGGCACCCCTCACTGTCACTGTGCCAGGGCACTCACCACGTGGAGCCCCCTCTGGCTGCTCGAAGTTGGGGTGGTGACAAGATTTAAATAAGATAAAAGGGGCTGTTGGGGTTTCCTGTCCTCTGTCCCTTCTCCTTCCTCCCCCAGACATGGCAGCTCCCAGATACGCCTCCACTCCTCTGAGTTCAACATGTGGGGGGCAGACTTTGGGTGCTGGGTGTCTCAGGTTGTGACTGGCCAAACCAGGGGTCAGCCTCAGATCAGGGGCACCAGAATGAAGGCCACAGAAGATAACCCATTAGACTGGTTTGACAGTTTTTCCCAGGCTCAGCCCAGGCAGTGATCTCCCAGTGAAAGAGGTCCCAGGGGGCACACCCATGGCATACAAGCCCTGGGTTTGAAATGTATGTGTAAGTGCCCTTCTTACCTAAGGTCTTGGAGTTTCTGCCTGGATGCCCTGTTGGAACAGCCTAATGTGGGGAGTGGGAGCTTAACAATGCACTTGGCAGTAAAACACAGCGTTATGTGCAGAGTGATTTCCTGACTGCATTTTAGAAATGACAGGTCCTTGGCACGTAGAAGGTATTTGGTAAAAGTTCAGTGAATGGATGAGCAAGTCATGACTGTATGAGCACGCAGCCCTTAAGATTTTATGTCAGAACAATGGGCAGCAGCTGGTCCCTCCCTTTCACAGTCAAGGTCAGCAGGTGGTCTGGGCCAGGCAGGGGAGGGGGCTCTCGCCTAGAGGAAGGCCCTTCCCACGGGACCTCCATCTTCCAAAACTTGGGGTAGCCCGTTTCCTACCCATGTTTCTGAGTCGAACAGCTGCAGAAAGCTGCTCTCTGTCTCCATGTGGGAGCTGGTGGCATACCAGGTATAAACAGTATTTGGGAAAGTTGTGGGAGCCCTTGGGGGAAGTCGAGGATGACGAGGAGAAACAAGGGGAGAAAGAAGGGGAGAAAAGGATTCTTGAAGTGCAGTAGAGTTCCCAGAAGGCGTTCTGGGGTCGCACAGAGGGTAAGGAGAGAGCAGGATGTGGCCCCTGCTCCCGGGCCAGGTCCTTAGGGCCTGGGCATCTGGGCCTAGTACTGGCCTTTTCCCTTTCGAGGAAACTGTCAACATAGGAGCCTTCAGCTCGCGCTGATACGATGAAATAACAAATCGGACAAAGGAGAGGCACACGCGGCGCGGGAATCGCATAGGGTGCCTGGCTTGGCACTAGCCCCCTGAAGGAAGGGACATTCTCTCCGCTCTGAAACCTCACCACCGCCATGCCCAGGGTCAGGGAGCTCTCCTCCGGGCCACTCAGAATCTTATGTGCCTCCTCACCAGCGCGCTGTGGGTCAGAGGCTTTATAGGGCGAGGAAGCGAATAGGGGCCGGTCCCTGTGTACGGGAGGCTGCCTGGTGAGGCGCGAATGTCAGCCTCAGGGACCCATAGCCCGTGCGCCTGGCGCTGCAAGTGTGCGCTCCTGGAAGTCCCGCGCTGGGGCTCACGGCCCCGCCCCACCTCCGGAGAGATCCGGAGAAAAGCTAGGGCAAGACTGTGCGCCAGGGGGCCCCGAAGACCACCGGGCGGCGGTATAGACTTTCCAGAAAGGTCTCCGTCTCTGCGCTGAGAGCGCACGGGAATTCGGGGGTGTTGGGGGCACCGCGGGGTTAGCTGACGGTCCAAAGCCAGGTGAGGGCGGGGAGGTCTCAGCCGAGCCCCGCGCACTCCACCTCTAAGCAATTTCAGCGCTCCCTGGTCGGCAGAGAGGCGCGTGTGCCTGTCCATATGTACTGGGGACACTCCCCTTCCCGGGAGCCAGTGTAGAGCCCCCGCCCTCCGCTTCGGCGGGGGATCCCCTCCCCCAGCATAGAGATCCCTGCGTCCCCTGCCCACTTTGCCAAGGCGAGAAAGCGGCCGAGCCGGAGACAAAGAAACTCCTGCCTCCTCCACTCTCAGCCTCTCCGCCCACCCCAGACACTCCCCCGCGCCCTCCCTCGACCCTGGCCACGTCGCGCGTGTGGACTCTCCGGGGAAGGGGAGGACGGTGGCAGGGTGGGCTTGTCTGCTCCCTAATGCGGGCCAGCTGGAGGCTGCCCGTGCTCCCTGCCCGTGGACACCCCATGGCAGCCGCGCCCCCACCAGCAGCTCATCAAACAGTCCCGGGTCCACGGCACCGCCACCAGCGACCAAGACGGTACTCCTACCTTTCCAGCAGAGCGATAGGGGGGCGCAGCGAACACAAAGCCAGTGGGGAAGGCGGAGAGTACCGGGAGGGGGAGATCCCGCCAGGGCTTGGCATGGGCCCGGGCGCAGCTATTTACCCGATTTCTTCTTCGATCTCCGAGATGTCTGCAAAGATGAGGAAGACCACGAGCAGTGTGAGCGCAGCCAGCATCCAGCTCCGGAACTGCAGCTGCATGGTGGCTTCGCGCCCACCGGGACTCGTGCGGACTGGAGCAAGGAGCGGGCTGGAGGGCGAAGCAGCAAGCGCCGGAGCCGCCGTGCGCGGCGGGGCAGACACCCTGCGCTCCCCGCGAGTCCGGGCCAGCGGCAGCTGCGGCGGCGACAGCGGCAGACAGGGGCTGCTCAGGCGCTGCGAGCCCGCTCTCTCTCTCTTGGCTCCCGCCCGCCCCTCCTCTCCTCTCCCCTCCCCTCTCTTTCCCCGCCCTGCGTGGGGCTCCGCGCGCAGTTTGACAGCTTTGCTCCAAGCTTCTGGTCGCCTCCTCCCACCGCAGTCAACTCCAATGTCCAGCCGCCCGCCTTTGGCTGCTTCTGCCGGCCAACCGTCTTTCAGGTCCCGAGGGCGCTGGGACGTGGCCGGAGCCTGCTGCTGCGCGCCTAGGGAGGCTGAGCTTAGGGCACCGCGTGCTGCTGCCGCCGTGCTGAGCCCGGGGAAGAGCGCGCACCGCCTGTGTATCCCACCGGCTGGCAAACACCCTCCCTTGCCCATTCTTTGTCCAGCGCCTCTGCTTTCTCCAAAAGTTTTCCTGACACAAAGACCCACACCTGGGGACAGCTCCCAGCCAGCAGCAGGGAGGCGGTTTCAGCCAGCCAGATGTTTCTGCAGTTGACTAATTAGGAGGGGAGGTGGGGGGAGGGGAGGGGGAGGAAGAAATATCCAAGACAGGCCAACTTTGGTAGGGATGTTGATTGCAGTTTGTGCTCCAGCCCCAAGCACCGACCCGCCCCTCAACTAGTTGGTCATCTTGTTCTCCACGGACAGACCTAGAGTGGGTTCTGAGAGGCTCCCCAGGATGCCTGAGGTCACACAGTCGTGGCTGGAACCCAGGGCATATGTGACGGTGGAGCAGCAGCCATGCCCACACAATGGCAGACTCGGTGCCTGCCCCTCCTTGGCCCTTGGAGGACTGATTCTGGTCTGGGCTTCATCTCTTTGTTGCTCTCTCCTCTGAAATCAGCTGTTCTCTCTTCCCATCCCAGTCCTGTCTTGATCTAAAGGCCTGCAGGAAAATATGGCTCCCACAAGGAGTATCACCCCCAACCCAGTGCCTCATATTTCGTACTTCCCCCGTCTTAGTTTAACTCAAATTACATTTTGTACCACCCTTTAGCCTGGGGTGGGAAGGACCCCATTAAGTTTTACTGGGATTAATAATTACCCTTTTTTTCCTTTCACTAACTATAACAATCCCCAAGTCAGGAAATGGAACTCTTCAGAAATGACCATCCTGTTTGTTGTGAAAGCATTCCTGGGGTTTGAGAAGCTGTACTGAATGTCCTAACTGCCTGGAGAGGAGTGCTGAAGGACTGGGAAGGGCAGGTTACCTGTGCCCCCAGGGTCACCCGCCCATACGGAGCCAGGCCTCAGAGGACCTGGCAGTGGCTAAATCACTTCACGGGGACCCTGGGAAGGTTAGAGGGGCACAAAAGCCTTTCCTGGCAAAGCCTGTGCCTAGAGTCCTTTTGCCTGTTGGTGTGTAGGAAGGACAGCCCGCAGGCGGCATCCCCACCACCTGAGCAGCAGAGGGAAGCAGCACAGAGAGACAGGAAAGCTCTGAGCTTGGGGAGCAGATGTCTTTTCCCCAGAGGAGGGGTGTATGAGTTCCCTTGCCACTATTTCATTTCTTTCCCAGCTCCTTGCAAAACTCAAGCATTATTACAGTGAGCTCCTCTAAATTACCACTTAGTTTTCTTTCGGGGAGACTTTCTGATGTTGAGCGCGATGTTGGATGTCACTCTTCCTGGCCCTTAGAGGTGGTAACAGACATCAAAAGTGGATTTCCCGACAGCACCCAGCGTGGTCTAACGGTCATGTCTCTGAGTTTCCTGAGATGATTGGTTGGGATATCTGAACAGGGAAAAGTACGAAGAGGGTGAAGCTGTTAATGCTGCTCAGTGTTCCAGTCATTCCTTCACTCATTCATTCATTCACTCCATCACTCAATATTAATTGAGCACCTAACCTGAGCTAGGATCTCGGCTGGGGACAAGAAATACTGACAGGGAGAGAGACAGTTCCTAACCTCTAGTGGCTCACGGTTCGTGAGGAAGATAGATGTGAAACTGGGTAATTATGGTATGGGATGTGAGCTGCAATCCGGCTATGGTTTCCTGAGTAGCTTATAATTGATTAATAAGATCACCCAAGAGAGCAAGAAAAAGCTGGCTGGCCTCATTCTCCTCTGCTGTCTGCTTTTCTACCATCTATGCTCTTCTTACCGTGAACATCGTGGGGAGGTTGTGGTGATCCCACATTCACCCCAGGTCAGATAAACCTCAGTGCTACCAGCACTGTTGTGATGGAGTCTATTTCCATTTCGTATTAGGTGGCTCATATTATCATCCAAGGCTCTGAGCCTTCCTCCTTTGGACCCATTTATGAAGAGTCATTAAGAGCAGCCAGGAAAAGTGGAAACTTATTCAGTGTTTCCCTTCTAGGGAAATCCAGACCCACAAAGCAACACCCCTCAATGCATCTGCTGGGAAACAGAGCTAGCTGGGGAGTGTAAAGGCTCTCTCTGCACCGAGAGCCACTGAGATGGAATTTTACTCAGAGGCTGTTCGGGAATCCCCGTCATAGCTGACCATGAAAACTCTCTGTAAGCACTGACGGTGTGATTCACGTGGGCTAGCCGCTTTTACAGGGAACTCGGGTTCCACCTGGTCTCTGGAAAGAGGAAGCACGATCGGACCAGCAGTGAGTATCATGACTGCCGATGCTGGAGAAATGGCTGCGGGGACCCTGCCCCTCCTTCTGCCCTTCTGTCTAAGCCAGTCCCTCTTCCTGCCTTGGGTTTTCCAAGTTCCAGGAAACAGGAACTTCCCGCTGTCATCACTTCTGTAGGCTAAGTCAGTGAATGTTTGGGTTGAGATGAAGGAGTTGTACAGGAGTGGCAGCAAATTAAAAGTCATTACCATCCATTAACATTTTAACTCAGTAGAGCATATTAGCTATTCAGGCAACTAATAAGGCCATGGGAAGTGCATGTTGATGAGGGATAGAGGAGCAGGAACCTGTAGAGGTCTGAGGGGTTTGCTGGGGTGACACCCAGCCACCACAGCCCCCCTTAGCTCTGACGCTGCCTAAGACCATGTTTCCCCTCCCAGCTCCCGGCCTCCTTTAAGGACCGCTGCCTAGAGCTGAGGTTCCTGGAAACTCCAAAGCTGTATCTGTGTGTCTGACTAGCCCTTGCCCTACTACCTCTGACCCCCGCAGATATGTGGACTTTTCGCCTGACCTGCTCTTGGGAGTAATGAAGGACCTCCTGCCAGTCCTTCCACAGAGGACTTTACCATGGTCTTCATTCATAAATTTGAGGAAACTGAGGCTCAAAAGAGGCCAAGTTGCCCCAGACGACACAGTTGGCAGAGAGGGAACTTGAGTTCAGTTGTCTTCCCCTGGCCTCAGCAACATCTGCACCACAGGGTGGCCAGGCCCCTCCAGCACAGCGGGCAGTTTCCAGGGGGTTCGCGGCCAGGCACCGCCTTCGGTTCTGCCGGTCTCCTCGTCGTTCCAGCATGTCAGGGTTCAGGGGGCGAGTTTGCCTTATCTCACTGCACACACTTCTACACCAGTGAGACCCTGATCATTAGCCTCAGCTTTGATCTTTCCATGGGGACTAGAGTAGTCTTTTCGGTCAGTCCAACTTAAAAATGAAAACAAGGTCAGTGCTTCAATAATAATTTTCTTATCTAAAATTCTGACCTAGTGGTACCCAATACGCTTGAACGCACTCAGAAAGCAGTTTAGAATGTTAATTACAAAGTGGTAATGACCTTTTTCTGTGGAGGGGGAGCTGTGCATAGCTATGTGGGGTGTGTGGATGTCAAGAAACAGAATCTCATAGCTGGAATAGACTTGTGAGCTATTGTGTTTCAGCACCTCCACTGAGGGAACCTGTGTTCTCTTCTGAAATTCACCCTAAGTTTGAATGTTCTCACAAATGGAACGTTCTTCCCTTCGGAACCAGAATCCTAGCAGTCACAACACAAAATAGTAAATGGGTGCATTTGCATTCCATCCCTAGCTTTTGTAAATAGCAAAACTTTATAGTAGCTAAAGAAAGAAAAAAGAAATATCCCCAGGCGGATGCTGCAAATGTTCCTGGGATTAGCAACAAGAGGTCTTGGGAGAGATGCAGGCACGTGCTCAGTGGGGAGTCGGAGGTGGCAGCGGAGAGGGCGGATGATTCCGTTTTTATTGCTGGGATTTGTCCAGACTCTTCAGTCAGGATTAAAGGTGGTTTTGAACCCAAGCACAAAGTCAGGTACCACATGGGGGAGATGAAAAACGCATGTCCTTTCACGATTCCCATCAGTGGAATGATCACTGTGACCTCTGGCTCAGATCTCTCTGAGTCAGCCTGCCCAGCTTTGCGCAGAGTCCAGCATGACACGCCCTGCCCCTGCTGAGAGGCATCCGAGGGGCCGGGCCATGCCAGTTGTCCCCGACTCTCAGTCTGGCTTGGATTGTGGCCCTCCACGTTCTCCGAGTGGGAAGGGAAGGATGGAGAGAGTGCGTGCCATCCGTTCCCTCATTTAACAAGTACTGCCTCAGCCGTCACGTGTCTGGAACTATGCTGGAGGGCAGGGGTGCCTCGTGGGTCCCAGACACTGTTCCTCCCCTGGCAGAGCTCAGAGTCCTGTGGGGTTTTATGGAAGGGAGTCCCTGGGATCGAGAGGCTTGCCGGCAGGAGTTTCGGTGCTGAGGACGGAGGCTGGCTGACCTGTCCCCTAGCTCAGTTCAGTTCTGGTTCTTCTGCACACACCCTCTTCGTGTGCTGTCAATGGCATTGTGATCTCCCAGGGGTGGGGACCTTTCTTCCCTTCTGGTTTCATGTTATCTAGCACGGTAGAAACCCAGTCAATACTTCCCACCCCAGCCAGTTTCAAGCCCCTACCATCACACAACTGAAGGCAGCCTTGGGAGGAGGTGTGCACGGACACACCAAGGTAGAGTGTTATACCATATACACACAATAAATGAAATAACCTCAGGAGTATAGATAATAGCGAAAGGCAGGAAATAAAATTAGGGATTGGTGAGTTGAGTGTGTACTGCCTTTGTCTTTAGTATAATCTATTTAATTGTAAGTTTATATACTTTAATTTTTAATAAGCGTTCCGAGT